TATATATACATGCAGTACATAGGGGCCAAGGTGTAGAGGCATGGCAGCCGACTCGGGACCTAAAAGTCCCAGACTCGATCACCAGTCATTGCACATCTCCTGGTGTCTGTGAGCAGAACACCATATCCTCACTTGCTCCCCGGGAGTTAATACAATGATGACAACGCATTATTATTATTATTATTATTATTATTATAAACATGGTGAAACTGTCTTGGACTTTGACGTGGCAACAACAATATGAGAGGGACTTTTTATGACTAGATACAGCCACACATCAAAATAGAAGTTGGTACCTCAATTACTTTTGTTTATGCTCACAGCACTGACAGATGGTAAGTCCAGTTCCATCACTCCACTTCTGATGGGGGATAACAAAAAACTGAAACAGTCAAAAGTCCTTTAAATCATACAGTGGCAGCTGGGATTAAGGCTTGTTAACACTATTTTCTCTGCATTTGAGCAGTGTGTTGTTTTACTATTAATTAGTGGTAGATGGTAGGTAGACGGGGGGATGGATGGGGTAGGGATTGCATTAAAATTCAGTGTTTTCACGTAAAAGGCCCATCCCTAGCATGAACTACAACTACTTTTTTTTTTTCTTCAGATTAATGTGTAAGATTACAGGATCCACTTCAGTCTTGGACGTGCAAAGACGTCCTGTTAGCACGTCAGCCCTGTCAGAATCCAAACTGAGGTCATTCAGAGACCTATCTACAACAGATAAGATATTGGTGTCCATAACACTTCCACAGAGTCCCACTTCAAAAGATCTGAATTATCTCTTTAAATTTCAAACGTTTAAACGGTTCATATGGAGCTTGTTCCTGTTCCTATTATTGCAGACTCATGAGAAAGCCGAGCATGTTTAGTTTATCTTAAACTGAGCAGATCTGTCTCCACTTTTGTAGTGGCATATTTCTACAGTAGCCCAGGAAGGACAAACCTAACAAACATTTCTGGAGGTTTTCTTTCACTTCATACGCAACACAACTGAATTTTCTTTTACACATTTTCATGTTTAGTAACACGACAAAATTAGCAGTTTTATAATTTAAGGAAAGAAAATAAAAAGACGAAAACGTCACACTCCTGTTTAATTTATTTTTATTGTTGGTTAGAGCAGAAAGGTTGATTTGGTTACCTCTGACATTTTTCGTTAACTTCTTAAAATCCTACTTAAAAAAGAATGTACAGTTTTGCCACGTACGCAGAATTTTAACAAAACAAAAGACTACAAATGGTTTCCATCGCTTGAGTTTTGTGACTTTCTGATTACAAATTGTGTATATTTTTGCTCTGACATTATTTACAGGTGACAATAGTTGTATTTGGGTCAATGAGAGCTGAAGAGGTAACTAACAGCTGCTGGGCGTGGCGGTACTTGATATAGATTTTCTGAACGAACAACGCTGCTCTGGCTGTCCCAGAACTGCCAGTTGCACCTGAGATGTGATTTCACAAAAAGTCCAGTGAAAGAATGTAACATAAATCCAAAATGAAAGCAAGTAAAAAACTGTGAGACCCCCCACTCCACCCCAGCAAAGTGTTTTTCCGCCTCAAACCTGTTTTTGCACTATATGGTTCTTTTTTTAATCACTTACAGTATACCATCGCTAGCTGAAAGAAGCTCAAGTCGTAGTGCTGCAAGCTCGTCCTCACTACTTTCTTCCAGATTTATCCTGTTTTCATTTTAGCTTTGTCAGATTACGTAATCCACTGGATGTTTTACAAGAAGGTACAATACAAGAAATGCTTTCCACCACCAGCAGAATTTTAACTCTGAACATTTAAACCTGCCAGCATACCAGTGCAACAGGTTTTTATCTATTAAATATAAATATGTTTGTCCTAATAAATATATTAATATCTATTTTGTACACAGTTGGTTCAGTTCAGAGTGAATGCACACAACCAAACATGTCGACAGGTGTAGGGTACAAAAATAGGAACAAAAAGATCAAATCTCCTGCTTGTTGGCTGCAGGCCAACAGGGATTGTGAGGCAGCGGAAGCCGATGAAGACCTTTCCAATCAGATGAGGCAACATGATTTATAAGGAGGATGGAACATCCCAGTGTGCAGCTGCTCTTATCCTGAGTCACGTTATGCACATTTTGGTGATTTATTCCCATTCTTATGCTTCCGGAACCACAACGAGAAAAAGATAAATGCAATCTGAATGTGTCTCCAAAAAGCTGTTTGGTAAAAACCGACATGTTCCTCTTGTTGAATGCAAGCAAGACTTATTCCTTATTAGATTTCCGTGTTTTAGAAGAGATGATAGAGATTCTTGCGGCGAGGCTTATCCATCTTTGGCCATCATTGTGTCCTTTGACAGGTAGACCACCCAGTAGACCATGTTAAACGCTCCAAAGGACACTGGGAACAGGATTCGTGCATATTTATCTATTTTACTGGTTCCACCCATGCCGGCAGTGGTGGGCTGGGAGCACGGCGTTTGCTTTGGCTCCAGTTTGTTGTCCATCATCTGAAGGCGCTCCAGCTTGAGCCCCAGCAGTTGCTGCAGAGACGAGGAGCTGGCGTCCTGCTTGCATGGCGTTCCTGCCATCACATCTGGAGTGGAGGCCGCTGCCTGAGGTGTGCCCTTGACGAGCTGGGCGGAGGAGGAGGCCACGCTGAGCAGGCTCTCAGACTTAGGGCTGGAGCGGGAGAGAGTGGAGGAGCTGCCGTTGGCTCCCCCAGCAGAAGGCCTCAGCGACTGTCCTCGTCCCAACCCGGAAACGTTGGTGGTGGACTGGGCTCTCTGCTGAGTGCTCGTCTCCTGGTGGGAAATATAATTCAACCGCTTTCTCAAGGACCCGTTGGTATCAGGAGTCTGCTGGAAAAGACCAGAAGAAATGTTATATAATCCATTAAAAACTTTTGAACACAAATGTTTCACAGCAGTCTTTTGTGTTTCAGGTGAGTACTAAACTGTTTGTCAGTAACTCGAGATATAATTTGATCAGCTCTGAAGACATTCTTAAAACCCTCAGTGAGAAGTTTCAGAAATGTTAACATTTTCTTTTCATTTCTCTTTACACACTGAATATGTCTGTTCAGTGTAGCAGAGGTGATTATAAAAAGTAAAAAACAAAAAAGATACATGGCTAAAAATGTATCTTTTTACTTTTATTTTGTTGGTGGGTGGGGAGTGGTAAAAACGACGGTGGTGAAAGGATTCAAAGATCAGAAGTGTAACAGAAAGATGACACTACTCAGCTAACTGCGTTATGGATTACTCTTTTCATCTATTATCCATACTTTTTAGGACTGAGAGACAGCAGAAAAATTAATAACTAATGTTTTATTCATTTAAAAGTAGGTGACAGCACTTTTGTGAGATTGTGTGTTTTTTTTATGTAAAAACAAAATTTTCAAATACAATCACTGAGATCCTGAGTTCCTTTAGGATGAACTCCATGAAATAATATTACGACATGGTCGAACAATTCAACAGCTGAAATGATTTTAAGCCATTGATTTTATCTTTTAAATGGAGTTATTTTGAAAGGTAATGAACATTCACAATTCTACTGTTGTACATAACGCTTTGAACGACCTCAGTCTAGAGAAAAATATAAACCTATTATGGTTTATATTTAAATTAAGAAACGAATGGCTAGTCTGAATGGGGCAAAGTGGATTGCCGTCATCTTAAAACAAGTCAGAGCTCAAAACTCTTACAGCAGTTTACAACAAAGGCTGTTAAAAACTTGAACATTTCCCTTACATGTTTTTCCGGCAGAAATTTGTTTCATTCCTGCTGGAAGCGCTACAGCTAACACCCACAAACAACTGTGAGCTCTAAGTAAATAATGTCATGTGAAACCAGCAGCTATAAAGCTTTTCTCCTGTGAAATAATGAACATTTGAGTTGTTTTAGGACACAAGCAATCCATTTAGTCTCAGCCTTATTGAGACTAACCATTATCTGTCCAGTCCCGTCCAAATTAAACTTATCTTAGCTTGTTTAAAGAGCAATCTACAGCAGGTAAGAAAATAAATTGTAAAATTGTTCATAATCTTTTCACAGATGTCTACTTTAAAACATTTGATCACATTTTGTAACCTGAATGCCACATCATTCACACGCAAAGTGTAAAGAACCACATGGATTTTATCATCAACATACATTAAAAACACCAACATTTGGGTGTGTAAGGCACCGTTAAAGATTAATAATAAAAACACATTTTGCTGCGACATATAAAATATATACAGTACATGAAAATATAATGGTGCCAAAACCCCAAAATATTATAAAGCACATATTCAGTTGATTACAAGCAAATACTTTTATAGTTCAAACAGGAGTTGTAATTTTGAGATACTTTATAAATCAGGTCTCTTGTAAATGAGTCCCCGAGGTTCAATTGAACTAACCTGTAGAAATAAAGGTTGAATCAAGGGCGTCAGAAGCATCCGTAATGTGGGGGGGGACACAATGATGTGTGTAGGTGTGTGTGCACGTGCATGTGTGCGCTCATTAAAAAAATGTGTTCACCAGTGTACAAAAAAGCAACATTTCTCCTGGATTTCCTTTAATTCCACACATTTAAAACATGTTTCTCACAAAGTTTGTGTAAATTCAGCTGTGGGTTTAAAGACATTTTAACTTTAATACACTTTAATACAGAGCATCAGGTCGGCACTATTTGTCTTTATAGAGAAATAAAAACATCACCACTGGACTTTTTTACTTGTGTTCAACACTCCTCATCTAAATGATGTTTGTCATGAAGCTTGAGGACAATAAGGTGTGGGTTTTAAAGACATTTCAACTTTAATGCACCTGAACACACAGAGTCTCTTCCACCTGCAGAGTCTGACAGCCTCACAGTTACTGCTAAGCACAGAAACAGTGCAGGTGTTACACCATATTCTGTCACCACCGTGTTCGAGTTGGAGGTAACCTGGAAAACCTGGAGTGGAGTCTTAGTGGTTTGAGTATTCTCCTATTAATCAAGTGGGATGGATTTGTTCATGAAGAAAGAGAAACTGCGCCGCCTGAACTAATGACTCATAGTAAAAGTGGGGGGGTCCAAATGAACATTTTTTTTATGGGGGGGGGGGGGGGGACTTGTCCCCTTCACATATAATGGTTGCAACGCCTATGGGTTGAATGAATAATGAATGGATGGATGGATGAATAATGTACAGATGCAAATGATCTGTGATCTGTGAATCTGTGATAATCAATAAATTATCAGACAACCTTGAAATCAAACAGCTCAATGTGGGTTTAGCTATGAATACAAAACCCCCATAAATTAAAGCAAATAAAAAGTAAAGCATCTCAGAAAGAAAAAAAAAACCTCTTTTCTTTTTTAAACCATTTTCTCATCAGGATCTGTGTTTATAAATTTGTTTGTTTACATTTTTCTGTGTTTCACAATGAGGTTTATTCATATTTAGTAATTTTTGTCTTTGATTATGTTACTTGGGTTCTATGTCATCCCTACTGACCGCCAGAGGAGGTGCTTAAAGCACTGAATGATCATTCTTGCACATACGCAGGTCATGTTGAGTATTTTATGCCAACATGGTCATGTGTGACCCTCGGTGACACCAGTGAGTCTATATAAGCATGTGACAAGGGTAGCTCAGTCCCTTTTCATCTTCTCACATGTAGGTGGTAAGAGGTTTACTTTTGTTGCTTGACGCTGGTAGCCTCGAGACTACAGTTGGCGCTGCAGGATCAGCTTTCCCTCCAGAGGCTGCGCAAGCTGACATCCTTTTTATACAACTGTAGGGGAACACCACCTCAGAAAAAAAGGTCACCTCAGCTCAAACAAACATCATCCCTATGTTTTGTGTTTGAAACTGTAAAAATAAGATTCCTCTATTCCCTTTGGAATGAACAGACATTGTTTTACAAATATTCAGCTCAGCTCACAAACTTCTTAGTTGACACTAATGTTAATATAATAAAAAAAAAACTGTCACTGTGTTAACCTCACTGCCAATATGGACTCATTTCCCATGAAACGGACAGATCGTTTTAATGAGAGTTTCGGTTCAACTGACCTCGAAGTTTTTGAAGCATCTGAACTCGCTACGTTGATATCTTCCTTTATCGAAAAGGAGTACTTCTCCCAGAATGGTTCCCATGAAGATAACACCATAAGAACCCTTTGTTCAATGGCAATCCTTTTTAGGAGATGGACAGATGAACAGTGACACCTTTTGGTAGAACATTGCATGTTATTGATTTAAAATATGTCATACCTGAATGGTTATTCATGAAAATGTTTGTTTTAAGTAATATTTCTTTAAGATAATACATTTGTCTTATTTTCTCTTTTAAAAGGAAAACTTTTAAGGCAGAGAAAAGGGGACTTTAGATTTTATTTAACAAAGCCAAGAGCTATGACCACCTCTTCCGAGAGGTGGACCTTCATCTTTGTAATACACAGCCAGTTTCACTTCTACACACCACACAGACAGACTGGAGCTCCTTCTAAAAAAACTTTGGGAGAAAACACATGCTTTGGAGAGACACTCAGAAGACATCACTAGAGCCTTGAAGAGAAAACTCCAGAGAGACAACTTTGAACAAAGACGGGACAAAGATACATAAGTTACCCAGCTTAACCAGAACCAGGAATTAACCTGAGAGCTGGTTACCAGGCAACCATCACACCACAGAGTGGTAAATCCCAGCTGATCTCATATGGACCCTCGTCCCTTTAAGATGACAGGTGAACTTTAGGAGACTTCAGCCTCTCAGTTAATTGGAATATCTGAGGTTGGTACCATTTTTAAGCAGCTGTCGAAACCATGCTCTGACCATCTCATCCTGGTAGGACACAGACTATTCAATGCTTTTCTGGTGAATCTACATCACAACTCAATCAGACAAACTTAGCTAACCTTAGATAAAATTTTTAACCACTTCACAAACAGAAACCAGTCCTAAGTCTGCCTTTTAAGTTTCACTAATTTGAATATTCAATTAGACCTTTGATGCAAAGCTATTTGTTATTCAGTTAACTTTTGTCATGCATAATTTTCATCATATATATATCACAGATTACTATTTTTATAATAAAATACATAAAAATCAACTGAATTTGTGATTATTTTGGCATATCTGTGTGTATTAATTGATTTGATGCACTTTAAACACGAGAAAAGAACTCACGTTTCAGTTTATATTGAATTGGGGTAAATAGAGACTGATTTTCCTCTCCAAGAGAGAGGTTGAGCCCAAAAAACGAGGTTATTTGCATAATACATGCATATCTTATGAGCTTAACTCATAACTGATAATTAACAATATATATCCAGCCCTATATCACTCTATACAAATGTACTTCAACTGGTAAGTTGTTTATTTCTGTTGACTGGTAGCGCGTTCACTAGCCACATCAGGTTTCCTTACTGGCTGGAAGTTCAACATTTAGCCGGTTCCAACCTAACTTCTTGTCTTTTGTTTGTTTGAAAAGCTGCAGCCGTGTTTGTCTTGCTTTTAGTTATGTAGAAAGTGTTGCAGCCACACTCATACTTGCTTTGTTTTCATTTCTGTAGCCATATTGGCTTATATTTTGCGGTTGTAGCAGCCGTGTTTGGCTTTGCCCCACCTTTTATGTGCATTGCAGCCATTTTCAGGATTGCTTTTCATTTACATTGGGCAGCCGTGTTTGGCTTGCCTTTACTGTGTTTTTTTTACCTGTGGCTCTATGGCAGTCGTAGCACTCTCTGGTAGCTTTTATAAGCTAGATGCTGGGGAACCCCTGGTGGTGTTTTCTTCTCAAATGGGTTTCATGTTCCATTCATTCATCAACTTCAGTGTCAGGAGTGGTGTTTCTGGCTCAACCTGACACTTCTAGTCCT